ACGAGCTAGTTTGTAGGTGGGGGAGCTGATAGTAGAGACTATGGGACGAAGAGGTGTATCAACTTTATGTATTTTTGGTAAGCCGTATAATCTTGGTGGCCTGGCAGCAGAAGGTTTCAACGAAAACTGTTTAGATTGATCAATTAATGCGGTTGAATCAGAAATTATTTTGTTGGTTTGTGTGACGAGGCTGTTGGTGGGATCTCTTTTTATTTTTGTATAACTACCATCGTCGAGTAATTCTTTAATTTTGTTGTTGTATTCTATTTTATCCATGATGACAGTAGCATTTTTTATAAATAAATAAATAAATAGATGCGCCGTTTAAAAATAAATTTATGCAAACCGACACACCTGAAGATGACCGTTTGAGTTATGGTCGAAACGTCGTGAGAATTTTTTATTGTTTTATATATATTTTATTATTTTGTTGTTTCTCTTCAACGTGACTTTACCGAAAAAACTAAGAATATGAATTACTGCAGTCACGAAAGCTTTAAATCAAAATTTAGGAGCGAATAAGTTTAGAGACGTCGGCTGTCATACCGGGCCATTAATAATAATCCCGTTGCAAAGTTAGCAAGGACTTTTGGACCCCAAGGTGCACCAACTTTTCACCGTGCAATACGCGAACCAATCCGTCACGGAGAGCAACTGGAACCACAATGCGCCAACGGTCCACTATATCATCCCTCCACATCAAAAGGCCCTCCAGAAAAGCCAATCGACCACCTTCTGACACAGAACCCTCACGCGTCTGTTTCGCCTGATGCCGCAGAGCCCTTAAGGAGTCATCCACCAGCTGCTCGCACATCCATACGGAGCGGGGCAACTGCAACACCTCATCGGCCGGCACATCCGCCCTATGCAAGGGAGACTCGTTCACCGCGGACATGACAGTTCGCGGCAGCGAAGCGACGAGCGAGCAACGACTTGTCCCGGAGGAACACGCACAACGAGACACCGACGGCAGTTGAGACAGCGCATCGGCGTTACAATGACGGGAACCCTTACGATAGATGACGTCGAACGTGAACTCCTGTAATATCTCGAGCCAACGAGACAAATCGAGAGTGGAAAAATACCTGCGCGACAGTGGATATGCATCGGCCACCGAAACCTTATTTAATTTACGAAAATCCACACAAAACCTGAGGTTGCCGTCCTTCTTTATCAACACAAATGGCGCACCCCAAGGACTATTAGATGGTGAAATTATATCCGTGGCTAGCATGTTACTGACAGCGCTCTGGACGCGCTCCTTCTCCCCTGGGCTGAACCGGTGCGAGTTTTGACGAATAGGGCTGGCCCCGCTCGTGTCAATGTGGTGAGACAAAAGTCAACTCGTCCTTACTAAAAACGTCAGAGAAATCACGCAAAAGCGCGCACAACCCATTCCGTTGTTCGGGCGACAATGCCGAATTTTCACTCTGCAATCCATCTATCGTCCGAAACAGGAGAAGTATGAGTCACCCCCACCAATTGGTGCAGAACACCTCGGTGGGTTCCGTAAAGGCAGTGGTGTCATAGGCCAAAACAGTGCCGGCAGGAATGACAATCTCATCCGGACCACCATTGAGAACCTGCAGAAATGGTGCGTGTTCGGAGCGAACAATCGTCTGAGCGCCGACCAGCGTCAGACCCCGAGTCGCAGCATTAGATGGGGTCAGGAGCACCCCAGCCGCCGAGTTATTGCAGGCACCCCCTTTTCGATAGCGTAGCGGCACCAACATTTGGGACCACGGCGGGATCTCAACCGTGACATCGACCCGCACCTGCACGTCAGCACCCCGAGGTGAGCAACCCAGCGACGAGGGCAGAAAGAACACATTGCGACCAGACGGCATTTACAAGCAGCCCTGGTCACCCAAGATCTTTATTGGCATTTTCGCAAGGAAATCAGTACCCAACAAACACGGCACGGCCAAGGACCTGGAGATCAGAACCGGCCCCGAAGCGGCGACCTCCCCGATCGCGATATGACCGTTCACCTGACCCACGATGCCCATGCTACCCCCGTTAGCAGCTACACAAGCGGCATAGGCCGGACGAACACGCGAGACGGGAATCGACAACAATTGAAAGATCATGTCCGAAATGATCATATAGGAAGCCCCCGTGTTAACTAAGACGTGGACATCCACACCCTGAATGGAACCAGGTACCGTCGAGGATCCCGCAACCGCCGTGACTACGCGACGTGTCAATTTTTTCCATTGGGTCAACGAAACAGGCCAACGTGGCCTCGAACGCAACCCGTCAGCCCCCGAATCGCGATACGAACAACCGTGCCCCATGGTACGAGATGCATGAGGTGGCGAATTTGGCCGGGTGTCAGACGTGTACTGACTTGCCTGTGAGGGATGATGGTAATCTGTCGGAAAAGCAGCAGGAGCCGGAGCAGCAGGCGGAATCGGCGATCGAGGGCGGCGCCTGCACTCCCTCGCGAAGTGGCCCAAGCGGCCACACCTGAAGCAGGTGACGGCCGCCCGCCAGCCACTCCCAACCTCACGCGGACGCGGACCGCCGACCCTCCAGCGTTGCGAAGGGTCGTCTCGACCCCGACCCCAACGAGGCACAGCAGCGGCCAGATCGCCCTCAGCAGTCGCGTGCTCCGGCGGGATGTCCATGACTTTAGTCGGCGACCACCCCTTGGGCTCACCGTCCCGAGCCGGGTCGCCCGCCCATGCAGCCATTTGGGACCAGTGCTGCAGGCTCTCGTGTGCGTGAAGACACCTAGCAGCCCACCGGGACATTTGCACATCATGCCCGCAAGAGGGCAAGACCACCCCAATGTCTCTTTCCAAAGCCAATATGCGGTCCATGACCAGCGAGTCAAGGACCTCCTGCTTAACATCGGGGTAGGCGGCCACAGCCAACGCCATAAGGGCACTCCGGTAGGCGAGCGGAGACTCTGAGCTTCCCCTTCTCCGCTGCATAAACTTTCGTCGGGTGTCGGAAGGTGGTTCATAGACTTCCGCCATTTCGGCATAAACACTTTGAAGCGTCTTCTTTTTCTCAGGGGGGATCGATCTAAAGACCGCTAGAGCGTCGTCGTCTAGGACGGTCGGCAAAGCGACCAATGCCTCCTCCTCTGACCATTGCACTGACCGGAACGCTGCCTCAAACCTCCAAGTGAAGGCACTCCAATCGCCGCCGGCAGCGAGGAATTATTTTACGTGCGGAAGCCGTCGGGTGCGCTCCGCCCCGTGTCGCCCAGCAGGAGCAGCGGCCCCCGCAGCCAGCGCGCCACGCGGCTCACTGGAAATGGCGGGCTCCGACCTCGTCTTAGGCACATCGCCCAAGATGGCAGCATCCTGCCGCGTGGTCACCGCAGTGCGCGTAATGGCGGACCCTCCGAGGCTCCAGTCTGAAGCCTCTGCACGTCACCCCTCGGCAGTACCTCCTGCAGGCGCCCCGACGACATGGACGAGGCGATGAGCGATACCAGCTGGAGAAGCACCATCCGCAGCGACTCCAGCTGCTCCTCCATCCTCCTCCAGCCGTCTTTCACCTGCCGTGGCGAAGAAGCCGCAGCCGCACCGCCCGCTTTTAGTGCGGCGACTTAACCAGCTGCAGTTCCTGTAACCGAGACCACAGATCCCGGGGTCGGCAGGTTCTGGGTCACCGCCTCGTCGTCGTCAGAAGACGCAACAGGTGGGTTCTTCTTCTTCTTGAGATGCTTGGACATTCCTCTTTCTGTTGTATGTTTCCGTCTCCAGAAGAACCACTTCTGACTCCAATGTAATAAACAACTTCCACGACGACTCTGGACTGGTGTCTTTTATTTAACAGAATGTCTGCACAGCTCCGCGCTCTCTCTCGGGGTAGTTCTCTCGCTCCGTCGTCCGCTGCTGCGGTACGTCTCCCTCTCTCTCTCCGTCCACACCGCTGGCTGGCGGCGTGCCCGGAGGAGAGACGACTTCGCTGGGGGTTCGCCACTTGGTCGTTGGCGAGGAGAGGTAGAGCGGCGATGCAGTCCGGACCCAAGGCTTCCCACACCGACCCCAAGTCCTCTCCTGCCTCCGCTTATATGCCCCCCGGCGGAGCTATGCTCCGCCTACGGCCACGCCCCCTCGTGAAACCCTCTAGATGGTTCCCGAATATTCCCCGTAGCTCCGCCGGTTACCTTTAGCCTAGATTGAGTCCTTACTCCAGATTGGATACCGGTTACCCAGCGGTGGACATGCAGATGTCCCCTGTAACCCCCCAGGTGGTGCTCTCTCATTACACAATTATGGCAACTGACTTCGATGAGTCGAATCGTTCCCACTCACGATGCCGTTCTAGTACATTAACCCAGGACGGTATGCATCCGGTAATCTATTTGGTGCTGTAATGAAGGGCCATTGCCCAAAACGTTGCCTATTATTCCTATCTTAAAGCAACCGACCTTGACCCAACTGTGTCGAGTCTAAATTTCGATTTAAAGCTTTCGTGACTGCAGGGATTCATATTCTTGGTTCTTTCGGTAAAGTCACGTAGAAGGGAAACAATAAAATAAAAAATATATAAACCAATAAAAGTCTCACGACGTTTCCACTGCAACACAAGCAATCATCATCAGGTGTGAAAACCACAGCAAGAAAATTTCCAATTTTCACATTTTCTGTGGTTTTCACACCTGTGGTTTTCACACCTGATGATGATTGCTTGTGTTGCAGTCGAAACGTCGTGATAATTTTATTGTTTTATATTTTTATTATTTTATTGTTACCCTTCTACGTGACTTTACCGAAAGAACTAAGAATATGCGACCGTTTGTGTTATGGTCGAAACGTCGTGAGAATTTTTATTGTTTTATATACATTTTATTATTTTATTGTTTCCCTTCAACGTGACTTTACCGAAAGAGCTAAGAATATGAAATATGCGTCGAGTCCGTCTATTCTGACGAAGGAATCGCTTCGGTTAATAATTATCGGATCGACTTCTCTTCCGGAATTGAGCTCTTCGTGATTCGGTAGCGAGTCCAGGAATCGACGAGTTTAGAATTACGCGGATCGACTTACGCGAATCGGAATCGGTGCGCGGGCGTTGGCGGGAGATTTTATTTTGTCGTCGTCGCCGCCGCCGCCGCAGCTGCAATCTCCGTCGCTAGCCGAGGGCTCGCGGTTCTGTTGGGCTTCGACCACGGGGGAATCGTCGGGCTTCCCGGGGGGGCGTGGGGGGGTCTCTTGGAGCAAGGCATCTGGATGGAGGAGTCGCGTCTGGAGCTGCTGCGGTTCGCTGTGCCCGCGGAGCGCAGCAAATCTGTGCGGGTGCGCGGGGTCCCGAGGGCCGCCGGCGAGCCGCCCGTCACGGTGAGGGGGCCGCACGGCTCACCTCGTCAACAACACCGCGGTTGAACTCACCTCGTCACGCGATTAGAATTAAGTCACCTCGCCGCAGCGTTGCTGTTCAACTCTTCCTCGTCGCGCGATTTTAGTTCAACTCGCCTCGTCACACCGTTACAATTAAACTCACCTCGTCACGCGATTATAGTTCAACTCACCTCGTCACACAATTATAGTTCAACTCGCCTCGTCACACGATTATAGTTCAACTCGCCTCGTCACACCGTTACAATTAAACTCACCTCGTCACAGGATTATAGTTCAACTCACCTCGTCACACGATTATAGTTCAACTCGCCTCGTCACACCGTTACAATTAAACTCACCTCGTCACACGATTATAGTTCAACTCACCTCGTCACACGATTATAGTTCAACTCGCCTCGTCACACGATTATAGTTCAACTCGCCTCGTCACACCGTTACAATTAAACTCACCTCGTCACACGATTATAGTTCAACTCGCCTCGTCACACCGTTACAATTAAACTCACCTCGTCACAGGATTACAATTAAACTCGCTTACAACTCACCTCGTCAAGAGTCGCATCACGACTACACTCGTTCACAACTCGCCTCATCACCACTCGCTTGGTTAATCCCTCTTACCCTGACCCAGTTAGACTCCACAATCTTCAAACTCATCGCCTTTACAACTTGACCTCCTCGCTTGTCACCCAGCCGCGCCTCTTCACAGTTTTTTTACATCCTAGCCTCAGCATCGCTTACCTCTTCACGATTCGCCTCGTTACAACGGCTCTCGACGAAGACCTCTGGGAGTTGCTTCTTTAAAGCAAGGGGGCTGCTGATAATCTGGCCGTGTTGGGGTTGAACATTCTGGGTTTCAGATGTGGTGTGCGTGATTCGTCGTGTGGCGTTGCGCAACTTGGCAGTATTGGCGGTATTGACCATGAAAAGTTGCGCGTGACAGGGCCTGTGGTTTTGATTTTGGGATTGTAAAGTTTACACAGCTCAATTGCCAAGCCGCATTACATTTTTGTTTCCATTGCGATCAGATACAATCTTTTCCCTCACTGCGCGAGCTGCAATTCGGCGAGCTCTGTGCACGCCTCTGGGTCTAGATTAACTAATGTCCTATGCTTGATCAAGTTAGAACCCTTAGGTTTCTCTTGGAAATTCAACAATCAATCCCAAAGACCTTTTTAGTTGCATGGGAAAGTTGCAAATTTTACAACTTAATTTCCAAGTAGGTTTTACCTTTGAGATTTGACCATACTGCTTGCTGGTCTAGTTGCTGAAGTTGAGGTGGTGGGTAGGGGGTGACCCCCAGGACCGATTCAGATATCACTCGCCAATGATCTTAGCTGTGACTTAGGAATTGAATTCTGGTCACCAGGTTCAAATATCAGTGCACTATCCACTGCACCACTGCTCCGTCCCATTCAAACATCACAGGTAATTTCACATCCTCTCATCACCCACGCATGTACACATTTTACACATGGTAGTCATGAATGTTAACACTGGCAGAGCCAGTGGGGGGTGGGGTGGCACGTGCCCCCCCCCAATGATCCGATCGAAATGAGGGATTTCGATCGGATCATTGGGGTTTATTAGTAATAAATCGGCATTTTGCGACCCCCACGGCCACTGTGTAGCATATTATTATGTGCCAGGGACTCTATGAGATGATAGGACGATAGTCTGAGTCCATAATTGGCAATAAGTAACGGCAAAGCGGCTCTAAGTGACTTAGAATTGTGCGCAGTTGCGTATACAGTACACGACTTCCCTGAAGGCATCGACACCTTTAGCGAGTGCGATGCCGATCACACAACACGGTTAGAGTTCGACCCTCGATCGATGGCTGCGCCATCGCCGCACACGCGTCAAATAAAAAGCAAGGGACAAGGTCCTTACTTACGAACAACTATCATTTTTCATTGCTGGAGGGGTTGCCCCTCCTACCTGAAAATCCTGGCTCTGCCATTGAATGTTAAGTGGTATATTTATGTCCGAGAGTCTTTAACATTATTTTTCCTGTAGATGGCAAACTTTGGTAAATCCCTGCAGAAACCTTTGGGCAGCAGCGGGAATCTCACCATCAACGCCATGTTTATTGACCTGATAGGAAGCGCACCAACCCGTGGTCCTCCGTTATGAATGCTTACGATTGCATTTGCTTGCGAGCATGCGTGTGGGTAAAGGGCGAGGAGCAACGCTCACAATAACGAGCAGAGCGGGGCGGCTAAAACACAGCACAGGAGAGTGAAGATGGTGCATCTGCCAGTCAATTCGGTCACCAGGGTCTGTCCCGTGAACCTCCCCCTACAAACGAGCCTTTAAAACTTCACGTGACCTCAAAGTGCACTGCAGCCCAAGCAACGTGATCATGCCACCACTGCCACTTGGTGGAAAATAAAAACTGATTGCATGTGTGTCTTGCCTGCCACTGACCATGCCTGCGTACTACAGACGGAGCTCCATGACCTGTTTTCGATGGTGGGGCCCATCTTCTCGTTGCGCCTGACGGATTCGGGTGAGCGGGACGGGTGCCAGCAGGCGTTTGTGCGGTTCTACTCGTTCCGTGATGCTGCCCGCGCAGCCCGCGTGCTCCACCGCAGACCCTTCGCTGGCAGCATCCTGCGGGTGCGGGTTGGGACCGATGCCACTCTCCAATTGTTAGCCCCTTTGTCCGTGAAAATAAATCTACCGGATTATTCCTTTTTTTGCTGAAATAGTTTTTTTCACATGTAACAAACTACGTGTTTGCAGTGGGTTATAAGTTTGAGAGATGACATGTTTAAGCCACATTTTTTTACGTGAATGGTTTATGTAAAATTTTGCATTTAAGAAGAGGAAATTATAGCTGGGAGACTTGCAATTAACTGACTGATAATTGTAATCGGTTGCTTTTTTGTAGTTGATTTCTTGCATGCGTTTAAAATTGGCAGACATCCTTCCCAAGGCAGAAAACCCCCTAATCTACTAACCATACCCAGCGTGATTTGGACGATGATGCTGATATCTCCAAAAACTGCCACTTAGCTCCGGTCCAACTTGTGTTTAATGAGTGTCCTTGAAAAACTTTATAACCATACAAATTTCATTATCCACAAAGTACGCTTCTCTTAACAAATAGACTTATTAAGTAGATGGAAAAATATGACCTTTATTATGTGGCCATCTGTGGAGAGATGATACAGTAAAAACTATCAAGAGTGGATTGTAAAGTGTCCCATTAAAGTTAGCATGGTTTATCCACGATGTGTAAACCTTAAGTTCCCAAAAAAATAGTTCCGTAAAAGACACGCGGGCATCTCTCTCGCATCTTTTTTTTAAGAGCGTGGCCACGGGGTGTTACTGGACATCCGTGAAAAATAACTTTATAGCTCATCGGATTCCTCCAGTATAAAAGTAAATATTCTGTGTTGCTTGTTGCCCAACGCTGGTCTTCTGTGCTCCACAGGTGCAGCAGTGTGTCGACCACGCCAGGGATGTGCTGCGGGAGCTGCCACTCAGTCGCCAGTACTGCTGTAACCTCGCCAACTACTACTTTGGCTTCAACGGCTGGTCCAACAGAATCCTTGGGGTTGGCACACTTCTCCTCCCTGTACACACAGCTCCCTACGATGCACGGGACAGATATAGCCCACGCCTCAGTAGTAGGCCCCATGAGGCCTACTACTTTGAAATGGCCTGCAAAGGATATTTATCAATCACTGCAAGCATTATATTTTATTCTATTTCAGCTTTATATAGCCCCCTTTCCAGGGCACTTTACAATGCAAGCATGTTAACCATGCTATGCATGCAGCGATTGCATGTGGGTACAAAAATAAACTCAAGTTGTCTTGAGCCATTTAGCAGCATCTGAGTCAAGTAGTGTTCTGTTTGAGAAAACCTCCAGCATGATTGCATGATTGGCCACACTCGTTGAGTAATAGGCCATCCATTTAGTAGGTACGCAATAATCTGTCAACTTGACTCCTCCCCCCCTCCCTGTACGCACGTGTATTTTTTACACCCCCACCTGCGTACATACGCTTGACGTACCCCCCCCTCCCCCCGAATCCTATAGAACGGCCGATATTTAATCCACGCAGAAAAGATCAAGGATTAATAATATTAACGTGTTTAAAGAAACAGTCCACCGCCGGTTGCATTAAATCGTTAAGTTGCGTACCTTGGCCACTTATTTTGCTGAGCTGGGCGATAGCTAGCAGTCAGGGGTACGGTGGCATACAAGTGACACCTTTCCCACAGTCCTACTTCTCCTGGTAGTACTTGTCTGACAACTGAAGAAACTGAACTGTGGCTCATTTGAAGGCCAATGTACACAAATTATTATCGAGCCTTCACCCGCCCCCCCCCCCCGTTTCCTGTGCTGTGTACGTACATTGTCAGTAGACCCCCCATACGCAAGCGTACACATTTGGGTTACCCCCCCCCTCCATGCGTACGTACTAAATGGTTGGCCCCTAATGGAGTGGAATATTTTCGACCTGACAACACTTTGTGTCCAATGTTAGCATGGGCGTTCACTTTTACAACTGCAAGGACCTCTTTCAGTGGCAGAAATGAGACTTGAAGAAAATATTTCGGAAGTGGCACATTTTCAAAAAAAGTAGCTTATTCCAGAAAACTAAATTGATTGCATGTAAATCATGCTTTAATTCTATGATTAAATGTATATGACATTACATATATAGCAAGAATGATTATTTACAATGTCATTTGTGAACAAGCTCAAAAAATGGACTGAAATGCAACCATGTAAAAAGTACAAAAAGCCTCTTTTGCCCCCCGAGGTGTGTGTGGTGTGTTAATATTTGGGGAGCGGTGGTGTCATGGTTAGCGTGCTGCACTACGAAGCTGGTGATCCAAGTTGTATTTCCGCTCACGGCCAAAACTAGTGATGATCATCTGAACCAGTTCTGGCCATCTCCTAGGTCAACTCGGCCTCAAATGAGTACCTGGTGTGATGTGCACACAGCATCACTAGGGAGACAAAAGCGGCCAGGTGTGGTGCTGGCCACTCACCCCCTCGTGTGCCGTGCCTGCCTTCATAGGTGCTCGCTGACAGCACTTGTCCTTACAGTCTGTTCAGGCTATACAGGGGATTTTTGTTAATGTTTGGGTGCCCCTCTAAAGGAATTTGACAGTGCCATTCTTGCAGAACTCGGTGAGCAGAGGAACAGCTGGGAACACGGTAGTGAAAGGTGATGCCACGGAGCCTGTCCTCACCGTGAGGGCCGTGTGTGCCGTGGAGGTGCTTGTGCCCGCGTTCGAGATTGCTGCGCGCGGGTTTGGGGAGGACGAGGAGAAGGTGCAGAACCAAGGTGTGTCCCACTTGGCGTTAAGGCCCGTAAGGCGCTCGCACCGTCTCGTCTGAACAAATTTCAAGAGGCAAAGCATGGACACTATCAGAATCGGAATCTTTATTTATACCCGAAGAATCCAATGAGCTCTAAAGCTCTTTTTCACAGATTTTGAGTAGGGGCAGGTCAGAACGTTACAACAACAAACAATACAAGAACAGGATAGGAGTGCGAAGTAGAGGAAAGGTAAACAAATCACTTAAAAATATATATACAAATACAACTATTTATTTTTTATCTTACCAGGTAAAGCCCAAATAGCTATTCGGGCCTTTTCAGAAGTGACCTGGCCACAGGTGATCGCTCAACAAAGTGGCTTATCATGTGGAAGTGTATCCATTTGAGAAAAACATTTAATCATAAGCCATAATCCATTCCTGAAGGCTTCCCCAAACCGCTTCTCATAGTCCTGCGATGTAACACCTAGCCACCTGCACACAAGCTGATTTCATTGCTCCATCTCCACGATATACATGCTGTGGTGCCAATTCCCACCTATGGTTGCTTCTCCCATTATCCTTGACCATCGACCGTACGTTTTTATTTAGCAGGAATGTATATGCTATTAGGGCACAACTTCCACTTCCCGATTTGGTGGTGTATTTTACACAGCACTATGTGCATTGAGTAGCAGCTGATTTGGTGAGGGAGGTTTTTAACCCTTTTACGTTCCTATGACGAACGTGTACATCATAAGTTTTACTTTAGATTCCATTCTGTTGAGGTACACGTATGTCATTGGAACGGAATTGGAAGTAAAAGGCCATGCAAAAGGGTGTGGCACAGTTTGGCGCTAGCTATCATAGATTGTAGTCATGCCACTACAGATTCAGAATATTTATTGATACTGGAGGAATCCGATGAGCTGTGAAGCTCTTTCACATTGCACCGCTGTCTTTAAAAACAGCGGCGCTATGCCACTCTAAATAAAATTAACGATAACCGCTTGCGCGTTCTGAGATTCAACGGTCAATGGGACCCACCCCAGCAACTTGCAGCCATCTCGAAACATGAAAGGGTTAATTGGGTGCATGTGTTAATGCGTGATTTTTCTTCAGCGATGGAGCGGACAAAGTTAGCAAAAATAATGAAGATGGCAATGGACAAAGCCCTCTCTAACGCCTTCAGCAAGATCATCATTCTGCTGCCAGGTACTGACCACAAGATCGGATCTTTAATTTAAAGCCACGCACCTCTGAAAAGCATGGTTGGCTATGTACGGTGTGAAAGAAGTTCCAACATACTGTACATAGTTTAACACGTAGGCTTTCGCGACCAATATTATTCATAATAAAGGTTTTTGGGTTAGATCGCGTTTATTTATGAATACTGTACATGTACATACGTACATACATGCAGATGATTTGGAGAGTCCACAAATTCTTACCGTTATTTGTCAATCGCTGGAGATTTCCGGGGGTGGTTGGAAATCAACTTAACCATGAAGTCCGTGATTGTAGCACAGGAAGGTTGCCATGCTGCCGTTATGCAGCTCGCGTTGTTCCGTGCACTGTGATTCGAATAACGCCGCGAAGGAGAAAGTGCCAACAGAAATAATTTTGACGCTGGCAGGACACGGCGATGTACCCTCATTTTACCCAACACGTGCGACCTGTCGATAGACCAGTAATAGTGGTCATGTATTAAAATGCGATCACCATTTTAGGAAAAGAGTACATAATTTCAAATATATTTAATTGTTAACGAAGTAATATGAATGGACGAAGGCTGTCTTGTAACTTTTGATATGGATAGACCCTTAAAGATGGGAGTGCCTATGAAATTACCTCCAGGTTATTTGCATTGTGACGTAGGTGTCTATTGTTCACTCCGCCATGATCACTTAAACTGCGCAGAAGGTGAAACATTACTTATACTGCATGTGCATGTGTACTTCCGCCAGAAACTGGTCCGATCGCAGCGCTCTTGGATCCACGGATTGATGATTGTGATGACCTCGCTGCCGACCAAGAGCTGGTGAGAGCTGCTCGCTTGCCTGTGAAAGTGGAAATTTGCGGTCACTGTGCAGATGGTTTGGACCTCCTGTCTTGCAACATCCAATTGCCATCTCTGTTTAAAGTTGGCAATAGGTAAATGTACAGCCCTGCAATTACGTATTCAAGCAACTGCTGGTGGAAGGGCCTCCGCTAGATTGAGCTCTAGAGCCTCCCCTAGTCGGTAATTGGCCTACTCTTCCACGCTGGCTAGACATATTGAAAGAGGTGGGAGTACCCCCACACTTTACCCCATCACACGCGAGCTGTCTATCGCTTATACGTGATGTACCCATTTAATTATTCTGTTATGTGGACGTGCATGTGCATGCATGTGTAGTGTCGTAGGTCTCTTCTTCTCTCCCCTGAGGCGTGAGTATGCGTGCGGGTGGCGTGCGGCGCACACACTCAGTCGGAGACGAGGTCGTCGCAGGAGGCACCGTCTCTCTTTTATTATGTTCACACCACCAACTCCGGCCTTCTTTTTCACGACCACGCTGCCGTACGGCCCGGCCCAGACACCGCCCTGTCTGCGTTGCACCGACGGCGTCGACCGAGACAGCCAACTACTGTCCGGCCGCGCATTGATCGGGCGAAGGCGGCGACGACGACAGAGACGAATAGACGAGTCCACTCCCAGAACCGACAGCCCGGGGCTCTCGCTCTCCACTGCTTATATTCCCCTCGGCGTGGCTTGGCTCCGCCCTAGCCGCGCCTCCCTTCTCGAACCCACCAGAGGGTTCCAGGCGCCTCCCCACGAGGTCTGCCGTGACCCTTGCCCCAGTTCCTCCGCCTTGCCAGCACACACACACTCGTGTATATGCTCAAGGGCGTGTGCGCTAAATGTCCACCTCTAGTTGCTGCTGCTGTACAGCAGTCGGCGCTGTGTCACTACACATGTATGTTGAACTTCTATCACACACCATACGTAGCCAACCGTGTTAATCCGAGGTGGTGGGGGGGGGGTCAAATTTGAAGAAACACGCACCATTGTTTCAAATGCCGCTCCGGGAGATTGAACTGGCGAGATGGATTGCAAGTCCCGTGTGCTAACCATTACACCACGGCGGCAATATTGCACCAAATCAAGACCACTAGACTTTGAGCTGCACACAATACTTCACTGTATTACATGTATCGGTCTTAATACATGTATCGGTCTTAACACGTGTGTAAAATAGGTTCACTGTTGTTTTTACAAGCCGCTTGCTATATTTGCACAAAGCTTTTGAAATGTACTGTCCTTGACATGCCAGTTGTGTATTATCACACTTTGCTCACACTGCTGCCGAAATACACTGTAGTTTCAATTGGACATAAATCATTTATTGACACATGAACTAATGTCAAATATTTTATTTTCCGTACGTATGTGGAAGCCAATTTATATCTGTTTCCAAACACACCCCGCCACATTGACACTTATCCGTCGGTATTTTATTAACAACAAGACACTTGAGCTATGTGTGCACGGTGGCTACTTGTAGCAGCATAGCTGGTGCCACCAAATCACATACTAAATGAAGTTCCACAGAAAATGGAAAATAAAATCTAAAGCTACATTAAAGGCAATTAGCCTCCACTCACAATTTTGGATGCGTAGACGTCTTCACATTCCACAGAAAACATTCTCAACCTGTTAAGTTGCTGAAGCAGTAACAATTTTTCACTCGTATCTCATATGTATTCAGGCATGTAGCTGACAGTACGTATAGAAATGTGATGTGTATCGGCGTAATTACGGGACCTTGTTATTTTGTGTAAGCTTCCATTTCTACCCCACGATATTCACCGCCCCTTTCCCCACGTATCGCCAACACTGTGTTAATTGATGTATGGTACAACTTTGCTTATCCGACTTGCTAGGTATGAAGCTACAGTCAGATCGGATATGAAAATGCCTCGTACACAAGAGTAAGAACACTTAATTATATTATAAGATCAGATTTGTGAACATCAATAGGAAATGGCAGTCACACCACGCACAAATATTGCACTGGGTGTGGGCTGTTAATTGGTCAGGGCGGATACATGATGGTCGGATAGGTGACATTGTATTGTATTTGACTTTTAACCCTTTCAACAAATGAACCCTTCCTAGGAGCTCCTGTGATGAAGTTGACAAGCCCCATGTGTTCTGGAGGGAAGAAGGTGCGGCGTGCAAGCCTGCCTGCTTGACACCACCGAGATCGACTCCCCCCCCCCACCCCCCACTGCCCGAGCACCATGGCCGTCCCAAGTCGCTCACGCGAGTGAGGATGGCTCTCGGCTTGACACCACGTCCAGGATATGGGCGGAATTTTCACGAGCGCGGGCGAGCAGCCGCTCCATCTTCTCTCTCACCTGTAGGGAGGGAAGAGACGCACACGTGCGTGCACGGGATCACGCTTGCTCAGCGGACACGAACGTTTGCGGCGTGCGTTGGTGTTACATTTCTGACGTCGTGAACCTCTGTTACTGTTGCCTCAGCGGAAAATTACAAGAAAATATTCCTCCCACAGTTATATTTTTTTATTTTTTCCGGCTAAGCTTGAAGCGTTGTTTGCACGAGCTGTCTGTCCATCCATCCATAATGGGGGGGGGGCACTATGATGTGTCAAAACATGAACCTGTAGATTGAAGTTATGTTGCTGTTAGCGATTTAATGTTTCATCACGTTCCCTGTTTTAATCAGTAAAAGGAGTATACAAGTTAGAAATGCTTTTGCTTTGCTCGTCCAGATTGTGTCCAAATAAAACGGCAGCACTTTAGTGTAAATTTTTTATCCGAGTAAATATTTTACATATATATTAAATAATTGCATTAAGTTAACCCTCAGCAGTAAAGATCGCATTTACGCAACTTCAGTTGAAAGGCAACTCAACAGTTTTGGATGATAGTTCAAGGAGTGGACGATCTAACTTACATTTTCGAAATATTTGTATCTTGCAGACTTCAGACTGCTCGTGTGGTAGGACTAATGTATACAGATTTTGTTATATCTTGCGTCTTGTACAAAACGTTTCATTTTTTTAATGAACCTGTTTCCAATTAACTACAAATATGTATTTCCTTCCTGAATCCAGGTGTTTTTTGCTTGATCTTCAAAGCTGCTTACTTTTTGCCTCCAGACACTTCAAATTGCGTGCCCGGAGAGCACGCCGGGGTTGTGTTTCCACTGAACTTAACGAACCCTTCAATAAAACCATAGCACGGCCGCGAGTTGGAGGGGGGGGGGTTTGACCCTAGCGCCTGAGCCACAACCTTTGTCTTAAAGGACTCGCTGTGGATGTCGGGGAGGTTGATGAGCACGTTGTAGTAGGCACCCTCCACGCCCAGCTCCAGCGCCTTGACCCCCACCTGTGTCACGCAGACTCCAGTCAAACTCCAGTCAAACTTCGGTCATCCTCGCAGTAGTGGCTTCTCGCTGGCCATTGAACAAAGACGGTCACCGCATCGTGCCATTTTCAGATGCTCTTCTGCGGCCGTCTTGAACACACCCTTCCGATATTAGGAAACCACTGGAGCTATGCACTTTTACATCTAGATTGAAAACTAATTTCTTCTTCTTTGGTTCTTTCGGTAAAGTCACGTAGAATGATAATAAAATAATAAATTGATAAAATAACAATAATATTCTCACGACGTTTCGGCCACAATCAATTTATTATTTTATTATCATTCTACGTGACTTTACCGAAAGAACCAAAGAAGATGAATCATTGCAGTCACGAAAGCTTTAAATCGAAACTAATTTCTTTTGAAGTGCTTTTTTGTGTTCAGTTTGTCCTTCCCCCGCACCTCAGATTAGCACGGTTGGCTACATACAGTGCAAAATAAGTTCAATATAGATACACCTAGAGGGGACCACCGACACGATATATCAGTACCCCTCAACTCGTCCCTCTGGTAATTGTTACTCTGCAGCACCCTCTTTTTAAAACCAGGATTTCTCGCTCGTCTTTTTTTTACAAGCACAACACCCTCAAGACCGATTCACTGGGACAGGTTTGGGGTAGTCATTCACGGCAATAATTGTTGCACTGTTTTCTACAGTAAATGATTTAGTATCCAAAATGTCAGCAACTGGGAGGGAAACTTTCAATTAGATCACACTACAGGAGGTATCAATGACTGCCCTGAAGTTGTGTAGTCTATTGATCATGATTCGTAAAATGCATGTTCAACAAACTTTATGATGAGGTAGAATTCAGTCACTGGCTTAACTTGCCAAGTTGCGTAAATCGTTCATTTTTTGTTATGACACCACTATCGTGTCACTCGTCTTCCACTGGGGCGACGGGTTGCATAATACACTTATGAATTGAGAGACCTGCATCGTGATACCTCAACTGAGTTTGGGTGCTTCCCCCCCCCCCCCCCATCAGTGCGGTATGGTGAAGAAGTAGGGGCAGGGATTTCCCAGAACGAGTTCACACGTTATCGTGAAATATGGCCAAACAAAGAGCTGTACATTGGTATGAATTATTATCCATCTGATCATGGTCTGCATCGTGCCGTCAAGAGGTGCGTGCCTGCACGTCGGATCTGCAGGCGTAGTTGCCGTGCGCCGCCAGCTCCAGCATGAAAGGCCACGCGGCGTCGACGCGCTCCGCCACGGACAGCGGCACCGCCACCGCCTCGGCCAGCGCCGCCTGCACCTCCTCGTTCCGCCTGCACGCTGCCCGGCACGCGCGGGCCGCTCTGAGCAATCGCGTCGCTGCTGTCGCTCGGCTCAGGCCATCGCGTTTCTGGGAGACTCAACAGGGGTGACTCGTGGAACTGGCAGCCCCTCCCGTACGGCAGCCTCGCTCACTTTTGCACTCGTCATGTCAAGGTTGACGGACGTAACCATTTGGCCGCTAGCGAAAGTCAAGATTTGTTTGTTTAACCAGGTGAGAACTCGGGTGTCCAGGGTAGTCTCATGTACAAGAGTGGCCTGCAGTCCTGCCCACAGCAGGTGGCCTCTGGCATTGGCCCTGTTTGCTTGCTCACTCACATGCTCCACTCACTGCAGAGACCCCACCCACTATTCGGATAACCCGTCTGCCCGTATCATGAGTCTCGCATCGAGCTGCCACCTTCTCCACAGACCAAACCTGGACATGTTTCCCCGTCAGCCTAGGTGACCTCCGATTTGCATGGTTGGCTATGTACGAAATAATTCAAATTCTTACTACCTCAACGCAGATGCCAATTCCCAAACTGTTGGGGGCAAAAACCGAATCTGGTTGTATCCAGGAGGCCAGAGAATGTTAAGTTGAGGAAAATCGCGATATTCAAAACCTTTGGAGCACAAGACCAGCCTTGCTGAAACTAGGATTGCACCGGCATGGCTTGAATAATCACTGGAAATTATTATTATGAAATTGGAAATGTTAAAATAAATTCACAACTTGCAATTACAAAAACTCTTCCCCATACCCCTGCTGTACAACGATATTTAATGCAGTCAAGAAATGTGCTGCTCAAACTTGTGCGCGTAGTCCAAGGGCCAGAGCAAAAATTGGTGCCAGCTAAAGTGAGAACTTTATTGGCACATATATATTTATTTAGCAAATAACTGAGTTATGTGACAACCCAGTAAGTTGTAGTGGTTATTACAAATCACTTATTGGCAACGTAAAGTAATTGTAACCACAAGTTGTGTATGTTGAACTTCTTGAGCACCGTACGTAGCCAGCCGTGCTAAATCAGAGGTGTGGTACCACATGAGGTGATTACCGTATTTTCCCGCATATAACCCGCAGACGCATATACCCCGCAAAAATATCGTTTTGTGTCAAACACATTTCAGATACCCCGCACCTCCATATACCCCGCATGCATTCATATCTTTAACGTCGTTACCATGAAAAATTTTTAACGAGTCATGACATGTCACACGTGTAAAATATTTTTGGGATAGCCCGCACCTCCATATACCCCGCAGGGTCTTGTTTTGTTTGTAAAAAGTGGTATACCCCGCGGGTTATATGCGGGAAAATACGGTATACCACCACCATGTGGTACCGATAAATGAAATATCTGGTCTGGGCTCGTGAATTACAGAGCACAGAGAAGAGGCAAACAAGACGACTCTTGAGAGGGCAGGTGTGGAGGGGTGAGAGGAGAGAGGGGAGAGTTAGACCGTCTCACCGTTTACGCTCCTTCTCCGTGCCCCGGGGTAACTTTAGAGCCGCCTAAACGCCATGGTCGAACACGCACACATCATCAACGTCGTCAGCCAAGATCAATCCACTGCTGTATGAAAGCCTCTCCAAGCGAGCAGACAATAATCCAAGCTCAGTGAAAACCGAAATGCTATTTTGTGTTTGAGTGAATTCAGTCATTGGTTAGATTTAGAACCCGGTTTAATAATGGCCAGCTGAAGCCTGGATTGGAATTCAGTAGATAAGCAGGTGAGGGAGGTGGGGTGAGGGAGGTGGGAGCGGGGTGGGTGATGGAGGTGGGGGGGGTGGTGAGGGAGGGAGACGGGTGGGGGGGTGAGGTGGGTAGACGGGTGGGAGGGTGAGACGGGTGAGACGGGTGGGGGGGTGAGACGGGTGGGGGGGTGAGGTGGGTAGACGGGTGGGGGGGGTGACGGGTGGGGGGGTGAGACGTGTGGGGTGGGGTGAGACGGGTGGGGGGTGAGACGGGTGGGGGGGTGAGGGGGGGAGACGGGTGGGGAGTGAGGGAGGGAGACGGGTGGGGGGGTGAGACGGGTGGGGGGGTGAGACGGGTGGGGGGGTGAGGGGGGGAGACGGATGGGAGGTGAGACGGGTGGGGGGTGAGGGAGGGAGACGGGTGGGGTGGGGGATGACGTCACCATGTAGCGGTTAAAGGCGCAGGCGTCGGCGTCCACGGCGAGGGAGAGGAGTCCCATGGCCTCGTGCAGAGGAGCCGTGGCTCGTCTCACCACCTCGTCCACCTCCTCGAACTGCCGCTTTCCGTACGTCATGAGCCCCACCATGGAGCCCAGCGCCGCGCCCTGCACACCGGCGGTGATTGATTCGACGTCGAATGTTGAAACCGGACCAGAGTTTGCTGATGAATTCAATGCTGCTGAAAATTAGGGCCGTAGGCCTGATGGGGTGTCTAAAATGTCTGGAGGGACAGATATGGGAAAGAGGCTGTCGACGTATATATATAAAAGGCAAAGTTGTGAATGTGTGTGTCTGTTCAAAATGTTTAGCGTACTTCCCGACATGCAACAAACTTGAAATTTGCCACTGGGATTTTTTGCATGCAGCGTTGGTGTACGGTGCTTTTTTCAGTAATATTTTGCTGTTTTTTTCCCATGGATTTTCTGTTTGCACAGTCACGTAGTCACTTTAAGATGTTTTCTTGTTCGTGTTTTTGTTTGTTGTGGTTGCACCCGATTCAAGAGCCGAATGGCTCACAGGGCTATACCAAAATAAATAAACTGAAAAAAATGTGGTTATGTTCCAGACTGTACACCATGCAAAAATTATAAAAAATACACTTTTTTTTAGGGGGGGGGGAGCTCAATAATGCATATATATTTTTTGTACGGCAAGTGAGCTGTGACGTCAAATCTGTCACGTGACCCACACACGTGGAAGCGTAACGCATTGTAGTGTAGCGGTTAGCGCGCTGCGCTGCGAACCCGGCGACCCGAGTTCGATTCCCGCTCACGGCCACCACCGGTGACGATTATTTTAACCGGTCCTGTGCCTTCCCTAGGTCGACTCAGCCTCAAACGAGTAACTGTTGTGGTGTGAACATCGCCACTGGGGAGACAAAGGCGGCCGGGTGTGGTGAATCCAAGTCCCGGGTGAAGCCGGGTAGTACAGCTAGTTTTGTTATATTCTCTACAACTATTATTTTTTGTTATGTAAATTTAGCAAAGTCGAAGACCACCTGTGCAACCTAAGACGAGGCTTAACCATTCCTTCGACTACACCACCAAACACCACACCCCACACACTCGCCACCACATAGCACATCACCACACACCACCAGCATACGCCACAAGCCTCCCCCCCCGAACAGCCTTTTAACAGACTGTTCGGGCAAGTGCCGTTAGCGAGCACCTTTGAGTGCCGGCACGGCACACGAGAGGGTGGGTGGGTGGCCAACACCACGTCAGGCCGCCTTTGTCTCCCTCGTGGCGATCTTTACACACCGCATCAGGTACTCAGTTGAGGCTAAGTCGACCTCAGAGTGGCTCATGACGGGTTCAGATAATCGCCACTGGTGTTGGCCGTGAAGCAGCAATTGAACAGCTCGCTAACCTCTACTTTACCGCTGGAGGTTTGGACTTTTACATCTAAACTGAAATACTATTTTTTTAAAAACTTCTTCTTGTTCTTCTTTGGTTCTTTCAGTAAAGTCACGTAGATTGAGAATAAAATAATAAATTAATAAAATTAAATAACACAATAAAATTCTCACGACGTTTCGGCCACAACACAAGTGGCCTTCAGGTGAAAGGAACAGCTCTGTCGTCCCGACAGGTCTGTTCCTTGTGACTTTACCGAAAGAACCAAAGAAGATGAATCCTTGCAGTCACGAAAGCTTTAAATCGAAACTACTTCTTTGTGTTTAGTTTGCTGTCCTTCCCCCGCACCTCCGCTTAGCAAAGTTGGCTACGTACGGCGCGAAATAAGTTCAAGATACACACACCACCACACACTATCCAACTCCACGGCACACTACAAACCATACAGCACCACACAGTGACCACCACCAGACACCACCCCACACCATGGAAGCCACGGCTGCCGCCACGGAGCCGCCACCTGGCGCGGGGGAGCGCGACCCGACGCTGCTGATGAACCGGTGCAGAGGCAGCGAGGACAGGGGACCGCCCTCCAGCGCGCCCGTCATGTACCTGGGCCACGCACACACACACACGTGTACACACGTGTGTGAGTGTGTGTGCACACTAGCTCACGCGTGAGAATGTCTGCGGTGGTGGTGGTGGTGGTGGAAGCGATTTCTGCGGCACCAACTCTATGATCCTCTCCTTGGCGTTGAATGGGGAGATTGAGTCCAGCCCCAGTCGGTTCACGACCTGTGCCCCCATTGATCATAAAATTAGCAGTCAATCAAGTACAGCAATCAATCGATCAAGAAATCAGTAAAACGATCACGCAATCAGTAAAAGCACACAATGTGTTTACTCGGTTTAATCCATGGCAAACTGTCCAGCGACATTCCTCTTATCAGTTCACTGTTTAACCTGGTGACTTGTCTAATGATATATTTTATGACTTTAGAAGGTCTATCACGTGACATTAGCGACTTACGTAGGTTGTGTGGCAACATTTTTCCTGCCTCAAATCTAAGGGAAAATCTTTAGACTCAACAAAACCGATCTAGAAGTGAGATCTCGGATCGAGTTAGGACCTCTGACCTCACAACATGGGCCCCTCTAGGCCAGGGGTCGGCAACCTAAATAACAAGAGGCACTTTTTTTGTCGAATTTGGTACAAAACTCAACATTTCAAGAACCGCAATGAACGCAAATACATAGGTACGTACATAACGTCACGAAGCAGTCCGTAAAGGGCCTCATACGGCTCCGGAGCCGCAGGCTGCCGACCCCCTGACTCTAGGGGTAAACAAAACACCCTGTGGCGTGGCCATCCCCGTCACGTGTCTCACCAGACGGATCTTGTTCTCCTCTTCGAGGACGAAGAGGTGGTCGCGCTTTATGTAGAAGGCGGCGCTGGTGAGCAGGGCCTGCAGGGGCACGAGACCCACCACCTGGGAGCCCACGGCCGCCACGCACAGCTCCTGCATTCCACACCGGCCGTCACGGTTCGTTAACCCTTTCCCATTACGATGACGTATGTGTACATATGCGCACGTCTTCGGTTTTTCTCTTCTCCAATTCCATCGTGGGAACGGAATCGGAGAAAAGAAAAGCGAAAGTGAGCATCACTTTATTGGTAGCGAGGCTCCCCACAAGGCCATGCGGGAGGGTGTGCGTGGCACAGTTTGGCGCCAGCTCTTGTAGAGTGTGGCCGTGTCGCTGCAGGTCTCTGTGGTGACAACAATGTCTTTAGAAACAGCGACGCTCTGCCTCTCTAAATAAAATTAACGCTGAACCACTCGCGCGTTCCGAGATTCAGCGGTGAACGGGACACCCGTCATGCAACTCGCAGACGTCTCTAAACGGGAAAGGGTTAAGGCTGCTACATTTCTTGGAGGCTTATCCAGGACACATGGTGGTCCGTCAGCCCCGACCACTTTCACATAGATCTGCCGATAGTGAGCGGTCCCGTTCCTTCTGACGCTGATCTTGCCAACTTCTCATAGGTAGTGTCGTAGTATCACCATCATCGGTGTTATGGCGATACGACGATATATCATACGATACTAGGACCACGATAATAGCATCATCCATTTGGCAAAATTGTAGTGATGGTGGTGATGGTACTGGCGGTTGTCATGATGTGGATGATAGTGGTGGTCATGGTCAAGGTTTTAATAGATATAACAATACACAAAGGTGTGCTCACACACAGCAGGACTCCCATCACGCCTTGCACGCTCGTCATGCGACCGCCACATTGCATGTACAATGCTGCTCTCAGCCTTGCCTCAACCATCAGCTCGTCTTTGCGTGTCGTTAAAAATCTATTTGTTTCTTCGCTCACCTTGGCGTCTTTGCACACCTCCTCGTAGACCTCGTGCATGGGTGTCACTTCGTGGTCCAGGATGTTGGTGGACACCTGGGCCAGGTCTTGCTCCTCCAGGTACCACCCTATGGCCTGTACGCAGCGCAGACGCCCGGGCTGGGCATCCACGTGGGCCAACAGACGCACATCAACAACCGCCGGTCACCACGAGGTGGTTGGGGTGGTCGACCTTGACTCGGCATTTGTGCCAGGCTAGGAGCACTCTGATGCAATATTTAAAAAAAACTCGATGAATGTCAAAACATTTGTCATATCGCATTGGCAGTGGCTTACTGACAAAGTGATTGTGGGACACTTCCTGGTGTTTTGGCTAAGGAGGCAATTTACTGGTCTTTTTTTTTCCTCGTGGTTTATCTCGCTGAGTGCAATTGGTGTCATGTGACGAATAATCCCTTCATATCTCTCTCGCAGAGCAGCACATGTATCGAGAGAACGCCCCCACGGAAGCGAATATCACCGATACGCCTTCCGAGATCCCTTAAAGTGACCTGATCCACACAGGATGGAACAAGCATTTTCTTCCACACCCACTCCGCCACACGAGGGTGACATTCGTTGCGTGACAGTTCAAACCAAAGTTGTAATTCTCAGAGCTGACCGCCCATATAGGGGCGCCACTGTGGCGTGACGTTAACTACCTCGGCTGGTATACAGGAGGTCATGGGTGCGATCCCGACCCTAACTCGTATATTTTACGTTTGCATGTTCTCCTCGTGGTCAAGTGGATTTTTCTCCTGGTTCTTTGGTTCTTCCCTCAGCATTTAGAATCAACATGCGTTTAGAGTATTTGGCATGCTATACATTTACACACCATAAGCCACTTGGTTGAGCTATCGTCTGTGGCCAGAATACTTCTGAAAAAGAGCTACATAGCTTAGTGGGCCTTACCTGGTAAAAAAAATAAAAAATATGTTTTTATGAGAGTAATTTTTTTCCCCGTGACCAAAGTTTAAATTCTCAGAGCTGGCTGGGTAAGCAGGACTTTTTTGAGTTTGGTGGCCACTCCCCATGACTCCGCCACTGCCGCCCTCCCACCTGGCTGGGCCCCCGGCCCTGCTCTCGCAGGTTGAGCGCGATGCGGTGCGCCTGCTCCTTGGTGCCCAGAACGTTGACGTTGAATGCAACGAGGAACTTTCTGGTGCCGGCGACGGTCGCCCCCCACGATGGCACCAGCGTTGCGGGGCCGTAGTCCGGGGCCCAGGCCGGGTCCTTCAGCTGCCGTGATGGCCGCCGCCACCACCACCACCGTCACCACAAAAGACAAAGATCCCCCGTATAGCCTTTAACGGACTGTTAGAGCATGCGCTGTTAGCGACCACCTAATGAAAGCTGGCATGGCACACGTGGGGGTCGGTGGCCAGCACGACCACACACACACGCACAAAGACGTGAACATACACGCATGTATATTTTCAAAATTGTGCTTTACCATCTGCTGTTTGAGTTAGTGTTTGAGAGGAATTTTACAAACCAACAAAAAAAATGCATAAATTTCACTATGCAATTTGGTGCCGTTAACAAAAAAAAAAATCTAAACTACGAGTAAAAAACCCAACAGGTATACGAGCTGCTGCAGTGCTGGGGTTGAGGGCCGGGTCGTCAAGAGTGGGGGCATCGCCATGCGGGGACGTTCTCCTCACCTTGTCTCCCAGCTTCTCGTACTCTCCAGCCCGGATGCTGGGAAGGGCCTTCCGATCGTCCTTTCTGGCTGCCTCTCCATACAAGTACACTGCCCAACGTGACGAAAATACACCACTGTGGCATCAACATCACCATCATCATCGTTATCGTTGTTGCAACGTCATGGCATTCTACTTTATATCCATCCACCTTCACCACCCCCCCCCCCCCCCCCCCCCTAAGATCTGTTCTATCACATGGGGGACACGCAATCCCGCACTCACATCACCGGTTATTGCCTTATACGGTAAACGATTTTTCAGGAGGTGCGAACAGAATCAAACTGGCGACCCCCAGACGCTATCGGATTGCTCTCCAAACTCAACCCACGCAGGTAAAAACTCGTTATTTTCAAATGCCCAATCCCTTCCTCTTTCCTGCCCATTCGTGACCCCTACATGTCCTCTGTTAAGGTCACCCATTCCTCGGCCCTTGCATGCTCCCTGCCATCTAAATCACTCTATGTTTGTTACAACTTTTGAACTATAAATATGTATGTTTAACTTCTTTCCCACCATATGTAGCAACCATGCAAATAAGATGAGATCCGCGAGAAGAAGCGTGGTGCGTGGCACAAACACCGATCACGCGCAAGCGAGTGAGCGAGCGGACGGGCGGATGGGCGGACGAATGGACAGACCGGGCACATGCAGCTCCTCGGCGAGCCGCTCCGAGAACTCCTCGGCGCAGCGCACGCACTCCAGCACAGTGACGCCGCGCACCGGCACAAAGGGGCACACGTCCAGCGCGCCCAGCCGGGGGTGCTCGCCTGCCAGGCGAGAAGAGGCGGGTCACGATGCGGGCACAGGGTCACGGGGTTGAGCACTCTTAGCAGGCAGTAATTTGGGGCAGGGTTAGTGGGCAATGTTAGCGGGCAGGGTTGCGGGCAGTTAGAGTGGCAACTGTCGATTACTTTTCTGCCGAGGCAAAAAGTAAAAATACGAATAAAGAACAGGTACCAATAACAACGGGATGCCAGAAAACAATGCTGAATTCAGCTGGACAGCGGAGAATGGCAATTTGTGGATGTGTAGCACGAGGCTCGCAGGCAGCCCGACTGCCACGCCAACTCCTTGGGATAATCAAAGGCAGAAGGGCAAGGGGAAGACGAGGATAGACGTGGCGATGGGATGATGACATCAACGAGCAGACTGAGCTAAGCACGGGAACATCTCGAAAGCTTGTGGCAAGATTTTAAAATAAAATCTCGGAACACATTGGCCGGTACTTGGACCAGCATTCCCGGAGCATCGCCACCCCCCTCCCACCTCCTCCCGTGCTCACCACGGTGCCTCCGCATGTCGATCTTCTGGAACGCGACGCGGGCGGCATTGAGGGCCCCTTCCACGGCGGCGCTGGGTGGTGCCACGAAGGTATAGACGGTGCGGTGCGACGACTCCCCGGGGTCCACGTCCAACAGCCGGCATCCCGGCGTGCGCCGGATGGCCTCGGCGATCGCCTCGATCACCTATGCACGGGCAGCCGGCGCACATGCACGGATGTTGCATGGACAGCCACGGGGATGCTTGGCTGGAGATTTTTCAGGCAGTGGCCTAGCTACCGAGGGTCCACGCCGTGCAGCTGCATCAGGCCCCATGGGCCGCAGAAGCCCATGTGCCCGGCTAAGAATCAAAATCTTTATTTTCTCAGAATCTTTATTTAGACTGGAAAAAAGCGAAGCTCTTTTTCACAGATGTCCAGATGTCTTGGTGCGGGTGCTCTGAGTACACGTAATGTCCTGGGTTATGCCTACTCCACACCCATACATGTTTATGTCAGCCTTGATCGATCACACCTGTGAAGTAGACAATAAAATTGAACACAACAACCACCAGATCTCGTTATGAATCTGGTGGTGCCCCAATTTTATTACTTCTACCTGGGTCCATGCCACCCAAGCCATTCGCTACTGGCTGGGCTGTGATTGCCACTCTCAGATAACCCTCCACGTGCTCCTGCCTGCTTGTCCAGAAAGGGCAGTGTGGTGTAAATGTTCTGGACAATAGCTACACAACAAGGAAGGGCGTGTTGCGTGCCACTCAGAGAGTGTGGCATGAACCATGCTCAACATCATCATCAACGTTGGCATGAATGTGATGCCAGAGCGTTGATCAAAGGTGAACCTGCATGGACATGCTGAGCAGACAAGAGCCACTGATATTTTTTTGCATTTGTTTCTTGCCTACGAAAACAAGAAAACTATTCTCCACCAACAACAATGCAGTTCTATGCTGAGCTGGGGTCAAAACGTATATTTACGCCCGGATTACACATTAATTGTCTGTTTAATGTGGGTGTAGGCCAACCAATGTTGCTGATTGGCGGTCTGCAATCATTTGAACATTGGAAAATCGGCAGCCAGGTCTGTGTGTGTGCCCCATGTCAATGATAAGCAGAGCGTGGCGTTTGCGTGTAATCACCAGCCAGGCCAGACAGTGCCAGATCAAGAGAGAATCTGCAATCCACTGCGAGTTTACCCCAAGTTTATTTCTATGGAGCTCTGTTAATGTTTCCTTTATTACCAACATTGCATTATTTGTCGTAGAATTAAATTACAGAAACCTACATCGCTAACATTTAACTTTCATGTAGTACTTAAAACAGCCTAAAGTAACCCAATAGCACTGTCGTACAGCTATTCCAAAGCGAGTGCCCTTCATTTTCACTGAGACATTTCGCAACTACCCTCTCTCATAAACTAAACTCATTTGTCAATGACACTGTGGGATTAAAAAGAAAAAAAAAGTAAATGACAGGTGACGTTTCGGGCAATGGCCTTTTTTCACAGGCACACGGGAGAGAGAGATAATAGGTGTGTTTGAGTAACCTCCATGGCATACTATTCAAAAGACAAACTGAACAGACGTCCTTCAAGGCCGACGTGAAGAAGTGCAACACCGACACCAACTCGTGAGAGACTACTGCCCAGGCTCGTCCCACATTGAGGAAGGGGCGCCGTGGCTAGGAGATGTTAACTACCTCGCCTGGTATGCAGGAGGTCGTGGGTTCGATCCCAACCCTGACGCCTGCTGCTGTATATTCGAAGTTTGCGCATTCTTTTTCCCCGTGCTCGTGTGGATTTTTATCCGAGTCGTTTGGTTTTTCCCTCCACATTTTGAAACATGCGTATAGAGTAGGTGGCTGCTATACATTTCTACGTGATGAACCTCTTCGTTGAGCTGTGATTTGTGGCCAGGTCACTACTGTGGGCCTTACCTGGTCAAATAAAAAAGTTTAGTTGAAAGTTTGCTGCTGATGCAAATATCTCAACAATTCAGAATAAGAATATCGATTTATACTGGAGGAATCAGATGAGTTATGCAGCTACTTTTTCACAGAGTCCAGTAAAGAGATCACACGACCACGACAATAGGGTGGGAAGGGGGAGTAAACCGCGTAAGTGGCAGAAACAACAACAGCGTGGTTCCAGACCGAATCAATAACCCAGGCGCCACCCATCCCCATCGGAGACACGCGGGCGGCACGGGCTACGGCTCCAGAGTCTGTAGATGGTTGGCCCTCCCTCATCAGCCACCTGCGGTGCCACAGATAAGACATTGATAATGGAAGACAATCATCGGCTCCGAGGGGTTGCCGAAGAGGAATAAGAATAGAAGCCTTAATCCAGTGTCGAGGTCGAATTGCAGTAACCCCGAATCGACCGGGCAATTTAATCTCCTTCGTTCGCTGGGGGTCTTTCGTTGTGTTTATCGTTGCAGTGACATTTGTCCGGGTTGGGAGTTGGGATTTTTACAACAGATTAGCAGGGGAGGTCTGGGCAAGTTGAATGAGGCAAGGCGTCATGGCACGCGAATAGATCGTTTCCTTGTCGGGAAAAAAACGTTAATAAATAAAAATACGCCATAACAATAATTCGCATTATTATAAATACTGACCTGCTCACAATATACCAATTACTTTTCATTAAATTAGAAGTGTATGACAATAATAACGGATAGATCAATTTGACCAATGTGTTGAAGGCATTTTACAAGCTTAATGGTTTTGTGCCGTTCATGTTTAGGCGTTTCCCCAGCGTCTCAAATCTGCTGGGAATTCGCCTTCACGTTGTGAATTAACAGGACGCAGTGCCGGATTATCCCAGTAGCAAAAGTAGCAAATATGTAGTAGCTACGGGCCCCGCACTTTCAAGGGCCCCACGCTAAATGCTTTCAAGCTATCAATTCTGGTTCAGTGATTCTGCACTTGCTCCATTACTATAGTACTATACTGCCTTCAACTTTTATGAACGACTGGGTGTTTAATGTTAGCGATTTGTCGTATTATCTGGTTGTATAGCAAATGAAAAAACTAATTACTATGCAAGTTAAAATTGTTTTTTTTTTTTAGGGCCCCTTTATAACGTATGCTACAGGCCCCGAACTAGCTTAATCCGGCACTGACAGGACACCGTCCGGGGAGAGATGGAGCGACGAAATCAGCTCGCGTGCCGGTGCTGGGTGGATTGTTGCATCGCAGATTCGTGAGATATAGCTACGGCATCAAGGGAGTCCTTTATCCAGCAGTGGATTGATCATGGCTCACAATAATAATAATGAACAACGTGATTGTAAGTAGCAAGTCTTTGTGTGTTAATTCTCGATTGAGGTTCAACCCCAACAGTCTAACCAGCAGCATCGCGAGAATCGACAAGGCAGCCGTGCTCCACACCTCCGATTAGCGCGGTTGGCTGCATACGGTGCGAAAGAAGTTCAACATTATCCCCCTCCACCCCTCCGGGAACCTCGCTCACCTCCTGGTCTCTGCCCTCCGAGAAGTTGGGCACGCACTCCACCAGCTTGTCCATCGCTCCGGCCGGCTCTGTCAGTGGGACGACTCGAGGGGGCGAAGCTGCTGCTGCTGATGATGGAAACGCGCCCGGCCCACGGCGTACAAACTCCACGTGGTTCATGAATCTGTGCCCAATAAATACCCGGGAGTGGGAGGGCACCAAATGACCACATGCACAAACAAGGCAAAGACAAAGATACCCCGTTTAGCCGAACGCCGACGTGGCAAGAGCAAAGACAAAGGTCTCCCCGTACAGGCATCTCTCTATTTACAAAAGGGATGCGTTCTTCGTCAAAATAAGCGTGAAACAACATTTTGTCAATCGGAATGACTTTTCCCATTAATGTAATATTCAAAATTAAGGATGTGTTTCGGGCCGTCATTCCAACTCTACTCCGAACTTAAAAATATACACTTTTATCACTTTTCGCAAGACAAAAATAATACAACACAAACGATTGAATAATACGTGAATTTAAAAAAATGTACCTATTTCAGGGAACTCACCAAAAGATCTGCTGCATGTTGGAATGTTTGTAAAGGCGAAGTGGTGGAGGCACTGTTGCACACTGTCGCTTCTCGTTTGGATGATCGCACGGCACGTGGTCGTCGTGAAATGTCGCTGACCTGGAAATTCCATTTTGTCACGTCGAAAATTGACCATTATTTTAACCTTATGGCGAGACCCCGGGGTCCCGAATAAACGGAAGTCAAATCGTAATTAGTTAATTAACTTTTGGCGACTCCGTCCCACCGCGCACATCTGGCGCGGATCATTCTGTTGTCGTGTCATCCAAGCGCAGCGAGGACGAATGCGCAGAAGAAACAAAACTTTGATGAAGCGCATCGTGTAGAGCTTGTCTAGAGGAATATTTGCCGTGTCGTTCGCCTTCAACAGACATAAAATGACATCGCAACGCAGTTTATGCGAGAGCCGGGGGCTTATGGGACCCCGGGGTCCCGCCATAAGGTTCATTTGTCAATCGCGTTTTGCGCGAAATTTCGTAAACCGAACGTTCGTTAACCGAACGTTCGTAAACCGAGGGATGCCTGTATAGACTGTTGCGGGCAAATGCTGTTCGCGAGCACATATGAAGGCCCAGAACGGGACATAAGGGAGTGGTGTGGACATCACCGCGCGAGAATGGGTTTTTTTTCTCCCCAGTGCAGATGTTTACACACCACAAAAAATGAACTCATTTAAGGCTGAATCGACCTCGGGGAGGCCCAGGACCCATTCAAATATTCGTCACTGATGTTGGGAATTAGCGGGAATTGAATTCGGGTCGCCGGGTTCTTATCACAAGTGCGCTAACCACTGCGCCACCGCTCCCCTCGCGTGCACACACGCACACGCGGGTGGTACTGCCTGTCGCTGCTCACACCCCCCACGCACACCCCCACGAGAAGACCAATCACGGCCCTGTGGGTCCTCCCTCTGCCAGGCGACCGCTTACCACCACAGGTCGGGGTCCCTGTCGCCGAGATCCCAGCCGCCTCCCTCGACTCGAGCCCTGGATGAACAGCAGCCACGGTGAGGGCCTGGCTGTACCGCGGTGGCGAGGAGATGTTAACTCTCTCGCCTGGTATGGAAGGAGGTCGTGGGTTCGATCCCGGCCCTGACGCCTGCTGTATATTGGGAGTTTTGCGTGTCTCTCTCCCTCCGTGGTGGCGTGGATTTTCTCCGGGTCCTTCGGGTTTTGCCCTCCATATTTAGAAAAACGCGTTGAAAGTATTTGGCTGCTATAAATGTCCACGTGATAAGCCACTTCCACGTGAGCTATCATATGTGGCCAGGTCCCTTCTGAAATATTGCAATAAAGCTAAGTGGATCTTATTTGGTACAATAAATAAATATTTCAGTTTACTTCAGGATCCTTCTGGAGATTTGCCTTGGAGGTGCAAGTTCTGGAACCCTTATAGCCCGGCAGAAACGGGAAAATGCATTCAAATGACTGGAAGAAGTGTTAGGATATAAATGACCAAATTACCATGTCTCGTGTAATTTATATGCAAATGACGAATTTGCGGTGTGTAATTCAGATACCAATTACATTTAATTAAATGGAATTTACATACTCTGCACGATACAGGTGCGCGTCTTGGATACACAGGTGCATGCGTCATGGGTACACAGGTGAGTAACCCTATAAGTACATAGGTACACGGGTACACACAGGTGAATGTGGTATTGGTACACAGGTGCATAGGTACAGAGGTGCATGTTTCAAGCGCACAGGGGAATACAGCATCTCAATAGGTACATCGTTGACATCTTGAATCTGCAAAGCCTCACGCCCAAATTCTGCACGGAGAAATAAAATCACGGGCTATGTGCTCTGTGACAAGCAGCTGAGCTGCAGCTGACCCGACGACGCTACCCACGCGGGCTGAGATTGGTCCACTGCGCTGACCTCGCGCCTAACCGACAACCCACTCTGCTTCACCTCGTGAGCCCCGCTGATGCCCTGTGCCCCACCCAACCTCTGGCTGCGCATCCACGAGGGCTGGTGGTACCAGCGCGACCCAGCGAGCAGCTCGCACGCGGAGGTGCTCACGGCCACGTGGCACGGAGGGAACGTGTGCGTGCACCCGCAAAGCGAGCTGGCGCGCGACGATCGGACGGCGCTGTTCGTGGGTCGGCAGAACTTCTCTCTGCTGATAAGGGCGGCTCGGCGCGTGACGGGACGCAGGTGCGTTGGGATTTCCTCCAGCGCACCGACGCCACGCGGGAAAAACGAGTGATCCTTAAGCTCGCAACGGGTATTATCCAGAAATAAACTGAGTTGTTTTATTGACGAATGTGATGAGGTTGTGTTATCTGCTTTGGAAGCCCACTCGTTGTTTGACCGTGACCGCACGTCTGTCTGTTCGTCCGTCCGTCCCTCCAGCCAATCAGCCAGCAAAACTTTTTGTGTGTTTAGTTTGTTGTCCTCCCCCGCACCGCCGATGAGCTACGATTGGCTACGTACGGTGCGAAAGAAGTTTAACGTACACAAAAGTACCCGTCATTGAACGACGGTCCTCCCCCCACCTGCAACGTCCCCATCTCCCCACCCCTGGATGCCCCCCTCTCGAGCGTGACAGCTCCCAGCCCCCCGCAATCCGCACCCTCCTCAAACGCCCCCAACCGCGTGCCCCCCGCCCCCCCCCCCCCTCTCTTCTGCGCGCTGGGCGGCGTGTGGCCAACTAGACAAGCCCGCCAGACAGCGAGTCAGCTATAACTTGTTTTTCTCATATTCGTAAACTGCTTGTGCACGACTGCCCAACGCAGCAGCATGATCACCAAATCAATCGTAAATAAATAAATAAAACTGCAGTTAAGCACGCTCGGTTTTATTTGATACAAAATAACACGCAAGAAGGTGAACGGTTCAATGTACGCTCGTTATGACCAATATCATCATCATGAGTCGCCAAGTCACAAAATCAGCGACTGTAACATGCGCATGTTGCCGCGGTACGTGATTTTAATATTGCTGCGAGCAGGAGCACGAACCGTGACCCGAAAGGGTGAACATGAGGACAAGAAGCGCGCGTCACGCACGCGCGCGACACCTTTCTGACCGTTCGCCGACGTGGCAGGCAAAGGCAATTTTTTTTGCACGGACGTGGGAGCTGCGTTTTGTCTTACGTGAGTTTAGAAAAAAGCGGTTATTCATTTAGAAAGTGCAGTTATTCGTAATCGCTATATAGTACGTAACACGTATGTCGTGAATGATTACTGTAACACGAGGCATATCACTACAGTATACGAGAAGCTGAGCATCCAGTACGTTACTCACTTAGCTATGGAACGTGCTGCGGAAACACCAAACGTCGTCATCCACTAAACGCAGAAAAGTGTCACTGAATTGCAAATTATTATTTTCGCCGTAAGCTCCCGCCGCGTTTGGGTTTAATCCTAGTAAGGGCTCGCGGGGCGTCGACCACGCGTCAAATATTGTTCTGTCGCAGTCTTAACCTAACGTCAAATATTGTTCTGTCGCAGTCTTAACCTAACGTAGCCAGTGACTTGCTGTTAGCGGCTGGGTGTTGTGGGTATCCTACGGCAAGCGGGAAATCCTATGGCCTGCAGAAAGCAGACAATATACAGTCCGCACCTTCATTGTACAAGGCCCACGACCGCATGAGGCCTGCCACTTCGAAAGGGCCCTGCAAACCGATATTTCTCAGTTACTGCATCTTAGCGGCACTGATCGGGTCCTGGAGGGGAATAATATTGATCTCGGTAATACTGCGTTTTTTGTTTCATTTCAGTGTGCTCGGTCACTTCTGTCACGTGAAGGGCCTCTTTGTGCTCGTACAACATGCACGATATGATTGGATGATGCCAAGACGGAAGTGGAGGATGTCCTCCAGGGAGGTTGGGAGTTGAGGATGTGCTACAGGGATAGTGGGAGTTGAGGATGTCCTACAGGGAGGTTGGGAGTTTAGGATGTCTTACAGGAATAGTGGGAGTTGAGGATGTCCTACAGGGATAGTGGGAGTTGAGGATGTCCTACAGACAGGGTGGGAGTTGAGGATGTCCTACAGGGATGGTGGGAGTTGAGGATGTCCTACAGGGATAGTGGGAGTTGAGGATGTCCTACAGGGAGGTTGGGAGTTGAGGATGTCCTACAGGGATGGTGGGAGTTGAGGATGTCCTACAGATAGGGTGGGAGTTGAGGATGTCCTACAGGGATAGTGGGAGTTGAGGATGTCCTACAGGGATAGTGGGAGTTGAGGATGTCCTACAGGGAGGGTGGGAGTTGAGGATTGTCTACAGGGATAGTGGGAGTTGAGGATGGCCTACAGACAGGGTGAGAGTTGAGGATGTCCTCCAGGGAGGGTGGGAGTTGAGGATGTCCTACAGGGAGGGTGGGAGTTGAGGATGTCCTACAGACAGGGTGAGAGTTGAGGATGTCCTACAGGGATCGTGGGAGTTGAGGATGTCCTACAGATAGGGTGGGAGTTGAGGATGTCATACAGGGAGGTTGGGAGTTGAGGATGTCCTACAGGGAGGTTGGGAGTTGAGGATGTCCTACAGGGAGGTTGGGAGTTGAGGATTGTCTACAGGGATAGTGGGAGTTGAGGATGTCCTGCAGACAGGATGAGAGTTGAGGATGTCCTACAGACAGGGTGGGAGTTGAGGGTGTCCTACAGGGATAGTGGGAGTTTATGGTGTCCTAAAGAGACACTCAGTGTTGTGGATCTCCTCCAGGTGTTCTAGGTTCTGTTAATGTTCTCGTAGATCGAATCCCTATGAGCCATGTGCAGGTTGGAGTAGTCGTCAAAGTGTTCCTCTTCCTCCTCCTTGTCCTCCTCGTGTTTCTGGAACGGGAGTAGCACAGGTGCTTTGATGAGGAGGCACACGCATCGGTCTGCACCTGAGGTGCATGCTAATGAGCAAAGCCCTCCCCTGTTAAGGCACTTCTACACAGCTTCTGGGAGTATAACAATAATAAGACTATTTTTCAAGAGCGTCCTACATTGTGGTGTTTGTACCAATAATGACTCTTTGGAAATCCACATGTCACACCCATGGGGTAACAAACAAAGCTCCACACACATAGATTCAAGAATCCACTGCTAAACCGCCACCTCCTGGCAACGTCACATCTCAAGTCTATACCACTCGGTCTTCCCAGGCACCCCCACCCCCAATACAAATACTAATCAGGCTCGGAGGCTGCTTAGCGTCAGGGGTATGAAGAGATTGGGAACACTCGGGGTGATTCGGTGGTCTGCTGCCTCTTGGTCCCCGGGGGAATTGGCAAGTGTGTTGGCGTGGGTTGAGATGGAATGTATCAATTTTGATAAAGCCCTTTGGAAAATTACATAAAACATCTGGAGTGAAAACTGTCTCCATTAGTTTTAATATTGGTAAATATATTCAATCAAATTTTTTAAAATAAAAAATCGCCTCCCAGACTCCAGGATCCTACCAGTTAGAAGCAGCAAGGACTCAGAAATACAAGGAATTGTTTATTTTTATGGACAAAACTATTTTGACAGGGCACTTGGAGAAGGCCAGGTGTGAGTCTGATCGAATTAATGTCAACAGGTGGGCACGTGAGTGGAGTAAGATGACAATAGAACAATGAAAAGGAAAATATCATAATGGACAAAACAACCGATCAGAGTCACGATAGATATAACTGAAGGTCAAAAACGTGTCCAAAACGTGAACGTGATCCAATTGTCATCAACAGCCACAGCAACTTACATTTACATCGTGTGTCAACGCGGTCGCATCTCAAGATGCTTCCCAAACATAGAAAATAGCTCCATTGGGGGTAAAAATTACACACATTAATATCACGGAGAAGCATCTTCTCGGTGAGATCTATCCGTACCCATGCTTGTTTAGGGTAGAATGATTGGGGGGGGTAAACAAGGACAGAGAACAACATCGCGGCACAGCCCGGAATGAGTCACATTTACAGCTTTCACATTTTACATCTGTAATGTTCTCTCGATTGGCAAACTCTTGTGCTGCTTTGTGGTGGTACCTGACTTGCCCTTGCCTTTGCAGGACCGACGTGACTCGGGTGACTTCACTCAATTCTCCGTGTGATCGTTCCTGACACGTGGTACGGTAATGCACGTGACGCTTGTTCTCAACGCAAGCCATTGATTATCTTGGGGTTGCAGCCTATGGTCGTCGCGATCCACTGGACCCGTAATGGCCCGCAGCTCAAATTGCACGACGTCGCATCGGTGACGGCGCAATCAAAGGGGCAGGCCAGATTCAATTGCACAGTTGTCACGGGAAGGGCAGCCACACGGCACGTGGCAGTTGAAGTGTGGGAGCCACAGCAGATGCAGACTGGATTGTGTTTCGTGCAGAGACCGAGTTTGGAGATGTCCGAGTCAGATTTCATGCAAAAAATCCGTTGACCGGGCAGCCACAAACGTACTAACACACTATTTAGAGATGATAAGCATGAACATAGACACTTAATGATGAACTCACTATGCCATACCGAGGGGTGCTTGAGACATGGCACTCCACTGCTCTCATGTTTGAGACATTTATTTTCGCTTGGCTCTGTTGGAGTAGAACCTAAAAATAAATAAATAAAAAAAGAGAGTAATGTTAGAAACAGACGTTAACAAAGGAGGAAATTGTAGTATATTCCTTGGATCACCATTTAGTGGTTACGAGTTGAGTAAGCCAAAAACAAAAGCACATTTTTTTTTTTAAAGGTCAATTTTTTTCCTGCAGTCGTGTACCGTACAGAGGCCCGGTCAATATGCCTTGTAACCCCCATTTCATTCTCTAAAACTTAATATTTTGAAAAAGTAATGTTTATTTAAAACAGAAACTAACATGCAAAGGAAAAAACAATGTTAGGGGTAAATTAATTGGCAAGTTATCTGCACCACCCGGCACATGACATGCACATTGAATCTACCCCGCTGAGCATGACCATTCGACGTGAAGCTGCTCGTACGACGCATTCACCAAAGTCAACAACGCGGAGCGGTGATGTGGCACGCGCGGATAGCGAGATTCGCCGCTTGTTGCAGAGGTCTACGGTTCAACCCCCAGGGGCCGCCCTGATTAATGCCGCGGATGTACTGCATTGCGCAACAACAACAAAAACCCCCCACACGCCCGTCGGCTAAACAGCGGACGTCAACGACCGCGCAACGTAATTCTAAATTCGAGAGCAGACCAAGTTCGCGAGCATGACGGTCCAAATTTGGCAAATGTAAAAAAAAAAATTCGACTTGTAAACTACTCAATTGGGAAAAAAAACACATCTCAATAATCAGCCCCGCCCCTACTGTGAAGCTGCCTGCAGACTGCATCTGCGAAACTTAGCCCTGTCGTGTTATCCTCGCGCAAGAGGAATGTCGTGAATACCACGTTTTATCTTGATTTAATTTGAGAAAATACCGCACAGACAGTCGTCTTGCAGCGTAGACTCGTGGCGGCCAATTGATATAAAACACTATGGGTGTACCGACGAATCGATGTATCGATTCATATTGATGTTTAAGGCTTAGGATAACGTGCATGGAATCATGCGTATGTAAGAATTTATGCCAATTGCGTGGAAATGATATTGGAATGTCACGTTTCGGTTCATGGAGCAAATGATTGTAGAAATGGGATGGGAAAGGATTGGAAACAATGCAAATGAGACTGTAAAAACGATCCAAAAATATTTGTAATCTAATCACGAGCACCGTATGAGAGGAATACATTTATGGTGGGAGACTTTTGTCAGATGTCTTGTGTATGAGGCTCTAAATACAGACAGATACATCTTTATTGATCACAAGGCGAGGGCCCAATAACACAAGTCTCTTTTGCAAGGGAGATTCGAGTGACAAAACCAAACAAACACGACAGCGATAAGGCACAGCAAAAAAGAGTACAGTACAACAAACTATCATGGGAACTCTTAACACAAGTCATTAAAACAGGCACAAGACGATATTATAGCAAGACTTCACATTCAGATGTTGTCCATGCAGTGAATCAAACCTATCATAGAAAAAAAAATCCTCCTGAGTCTGAACGGTTGATGAATGAAATGAGATGCTACATTATTCCAAGTCAATGAAGCATCGTGGATGAAGATGCATTCTATGAATCGAGTACAGTATTCATTCTCAACACGTGACATAGGAATTAAGTTTGTTATCCCCCCCCGCACCTCCGATTAGTACGGTTGGCTACGTACGGTGCAAAATAAGTTAAACATGCGTACGTAAAAGAGTTATTGTGGTCGTCATATCCTTTAAACAACCAGGAGATGAACTATACCCCGTTGAGACGCGTGAAACAGCATTGCCTTATTTGGAAAGGCGACCTGGGTTTTGTAAAAAAAAAATTAAGAACGCGATATTTTCAAAGTACACTTAGAAAAATGCAGTTAATGGCGCCATAGAATGTGAGGGGTTCAAATCCGGTATTATTTAATACATCATATAAAAACGTGTTGGTAGAATTGATAATTGCTTTCCAGCAAACGCACGTCCCCTCCACAATGACAATCGATGGAGAGCCCCATTAAATAATACATATTTTAGTATTTTAGCCACGGCTGCCTAAGTACCCGAGCTTCGACAAATATTTCTCCAAGGAAAGGGGGGGGGGGGGGTAAGGAGAAGGTGTGGTAAATATTTTACGAGCTATCGGCATTCACAAGTTTTTGCCGATAACCAACATGCGATAAGCGCTCGCGTAGGAGGCTGTGGTCGAAGAGCACTCGCCTGCTTGCTCGGAAAGCAAAGTCTTAAAACTAAAACTAAATTATGTTTTTATTTTACCAGGTGAGGCCCACTGGGCTATATAGCTCTCTTTTTCAGAAGCGACCTGGCCACAAATGATAGCCCAACGAAGTGGCTTATCACGTGGAAAAGTATAGCACCAGCCAAATAATCTAAACGCGTGTTTCTAAATGTGGAGGGAAAAACCGGAGGACCCAGAGAAAAATCCACGTGACCACAGGGAGAGAGAGACTCGCAGACTCCACATATACAGCAGGCGTCAGCGTTGGGATCGAACCCATAACCATCCTTAATACCAGGCGACGTAGTTAACATCTCGCCACCGTGGTGTCCCAATAGCAACTGTTAGGTAGCTATTCGTATGCCAATTTAATAACTGGTCATTAGAAACATATTGTAAATGTAATTCTCATCAGGCCGCATGCTGCAAGGTGCGGCCTCGAACTCTTCTTCTGCACTCTGTCTCTCTGGCCTCTCGACGTGCTATCAAGAAGGGCCATTGCCCAAAACGTAACCCATTACATATATATTTTTTTTCCTTCATCAGGCCCATGCAGTCTTATTTGTGGAATGTGTCGGCGCCCTTCACGACTCACTCCATAGTTGTTCCCTCCGCCTGTGGAGGAAGCAGTGAACGGCGAAGGCGAGAAGGAGCACGCCGGTCACGGCCGCCGTGCACAAGAAGTGGACGGCGAAGCTTTGCCCGGCGATCCGGCGGCTTTCGTCGACCGCCACGGTCACCTCTGCCGTGGAGTTTCGCCGATCGCTTCGCCCGTCCTCGCTCCCCATGAGCGCCGCCAGATCTGGAGACGGAACGAAACAAAGCGGCGGTGCTAACTAAGACGCAATTCTATTGTAGTGGCATTATTATTATTTCCTTATAATGAGAGTTATTATCCACTTTTCCTTTATCGTTGCTGCACTTTAATAAAATTGCTGCACTTTAAGTAAGATGCCTTGTGCGCATTTTAAGTCTTCGCCTACACTCTACGTCGGCGTACAATGCATATTTTTTTAGAGCTTATTTCACATGTTTTGCACAATCTGTAGCTTTTATTTATTTATTCCGTGCCACCCTCACTTTCGGTCCCCCACCCCTACGGGCCCCAGTCACGCCGTGAACTCGGATGAGCGAGAGTTGACCTCGCGTCTTTACGAGCAGCAGCACTCGGCGTGAGCCACGCGCGGCTTGGTTCTAGCTACTGAGCGCCTCCTGCGCGAGTGGAGCCAACGTGAAGGGTTACGTTGGTGGATGTGAGTCAACTGCCGCCGGTTTTCCGCCACACCTTCGTAAACCCTGATGATGTAGTCCTTGCTGTGCTCCGTGTTCGAGGTGTTCAGCGACAGGGTGCAGAAGAACGTCCCGGAGTCCTCCATGGTCAGCCGCGTTATCAGCAGAGAGAAGGTTTTGGGCCGTGCGGACGTTAAACATTTGCCAGATCGTCGTTTCGTTTCGCCCAAATTTGACACCGTCTCGCATTCGCGAACCAAATTGTCAGCCCCCCTCCTCCTTCCCTCCCTTCTTTTTTTCCCCACGTCGCACAGTGCGTCTCAATTTGGGGAGGTAAGCGACTGCCCGCCCGGGTGTCCCTTCGGTGGGTTTGGTGTGGGAGGGCCCCCGTTGAGATGCTGCGCCGCCGCTCAGCGGTGGAGCCACAGGGCATCATGACGGAGGAGCCCACGGTGGTGGCGATGATTTCCGACTCGATGCCTTTCCCTGGAACGGGGTGGGTGGGGGGGAGAAGGTGAGGGTTGTGGTTGCACATTAGCTGTGGTGGTGGGGTGCAGTGCCGGATTAAGCTAGTGCGGGGCCTATAGGATGTTATAAAAGGGCCCTAAATTAAAAAAAAACACGTAAATATGAAAACATTAAAAATTTTACTTGCATAGTAAAGTAATTGTATTTTTTCATTTGCTATACAGCTGGGTGGGTGGATGGTTACGTGGGGGTGGATAGTGAATGGGCGGGTGGATGGTGAATGGGCGGGTGGATGGTGGCTGGGTGGGTGGAAGGTTACGTGGGGGTGGATAGTGAATGGGTGGGTGGATGGTTTGGTAGCTGGGTGGGTGGTTAGGTGCGGGGGGTGGATGGTGGCTGGGTAGATGGTTTGGTGGTGGTGGGGGGGTGGTCAATGGGTGGGTGGAAAAATGGGAGGGTGGGTGGGACGAGGCTCACTTCTGCGGTCACATCGTGGGGCCCGAAAGGGTGAGGCGTGGTCTCGTGCCCAGTGGCAGCTTTGGTTACACCCGAGCATCGCGATACGTGTTTATAGCACACGATTTACATGCACTACCTTTGTCTGATATTTAACATGATGCATG